GTAAGCCCTGCTGGCCACCCCCTCATTTGTCATCGAAGCAAGAATTAAAACATTTATTCTTTCATTAGAAAAGCCAAGGCTAGAGTTAAAAGTCATACAATCTCATGGTTCTCATAAGAACCCTACACTTTGGCTCATCCTGATTAGGAGCATGTTGTTTATTGAAATTGAGGGAGTAGTTGTATAAGAGAATTAGAGGATGATTTTACTTGACCCTAGAAAGGAGTCACAGAATAAAACATATTTCTATCACCCCCATTTCTCTGCTCTCCTTTACAGCTAAATTTTTCAGTGGATTGTCTATCCTCTCTATCTCCACATTCTTGCCTCCAATTCTCTCTTGAATCCACTCACAATAGACTTTCCTTCCCACCACCTTACCAAAGACTCTTAACAAGGTCACTGGTAGTCTCCACATTGAAAATCCCATGGTCTATTCTCAATCCAGTTTTCAATTTCAGCTCACCCAACCTCTCACCCATATTTGACCACATTCATCACTCCCTCCTTTTTAAAACATGTTTTTCACTGGCATCTAGAACACCACTCGCCATGGTTTTTCTCCTATTTTCCTGGCCTCTCCTTTGCGGTATCCCTTGCTGAAGAATATTCATCTCCCAAATTCTTAATGCTGGGGGCTCAGTCTTTGGACCTCTCCTCTCTTTTAAAAACACTCATTTTCTTGGTGCCGTTGGCTAGTCCTGTATCTTCAAATATTACGTGGGACAGTGATGTTTAGTGGTAGAATTCTTGCCTTGCGTGCAGGAGAACCAGGTTTGATTCCTGGCCAATGCACCTCATGCACAGCCACCACTTGTCTGTCACTGGTGGTTTGCGTGTTGCTATGATGCTGAATAGGTTTTAGACAAGCTTCCAGACTAAGACAGACTAGGAAGAAGGGCCTGGCAATCTACTTCTGAAAAATCAGCCAGTGAAAACTCTATGGATCACATGGTCCAATCCCATTGTGCATGAGATTGCCATGAGTCAGGGGCTGACACCAAGGCAGCCAACAACAACAACATATGCTGACATACATCTCCAGCCCAGACCTCTCGTACATTCCAGACTCTCATATCCAACTGTTTACTCAGTATTGTGACTCAGATGCATAATGTGCCCCTCAAACTTGACGTGTACGCAAATGAACTATTGATTTCCCCCACAACCTATCCTCTCACATAGTTCTCCATCTTAATAAATGGAACCACCTTGGAGTCATCATTGATGTCTCTGTTTCTCTCACAAATTACATCAACTCCACCTGAGTGTAGCTTCACAAGGTATCCCAAGTCTGACTGCCTCTTACCACTTCGCTGCCATCACCCTAGTCCATGTTGCCATCATACCCCTCCTGGACTGTTGCCATCATACCCCTCCTGGACTGTTGCCATCATACCCCTCCTGGACTATTGCCATGGCCTCGTCATGCTCTCTCTGTGTTCTCTCCTGCTCTCAACTCCCAGTCTCCACACAACATTCACTCCACACACTCATTTAAATCATACATCAAATCATAACATTTCCTTGCTCTAAAATCCAAAGTTCTTACCATCACTTACAAGGCCCTACATGAACTAGTCGTTGCTATCCCTCAGACTCCTTATCCCTTCCTCTTTCCTTATGAATCATACCAGCCACATTGCCTTTCCGTTGCTTCTCAAGCATGCCACGCACACTCCACCTCAGGGCCTTTGGTCTTGCTCTTTGCCCTGCCTACAGCTTATGCACCAGATGTTCACAGGCTCCTTCACTTCATTTGGTCTCTGCTCAGATGTCACCTCTTTAGAGAAGACTTCTCTTACCACACTACAGGACACAGCACTTCACATCACACTGTATCTTCTTGCCTTTGGCTTCAAAGTGCTTATTACTACCGAAAGTACTTCATCTCTCTCTGATTGACTTGGTGTGACTTGTCTGGAATTTAAGCTCCTTGAGTCCAAGCACTGTATCTGATTTGTTCACTGCTGTGTCCCAAGTACCTGGAACAGTGCCCAGCACAGAGTAGGTGCTCAGTAAATATTGCTGAGTGAAAGAACAAGTGAGCAAAATGACAATGTAAAACTCTAGTAAGTTGGACTTTTATCGAAATTAAAAACAATCAGAATTTACCTTATAAATTCACACACCTACATGCTTAAAATAGGTCTAGGTCCTATGAGCTAAAACGCATGTGCTTAGGAGTTCTAGGTCTCCAGTTTTGCCAGTTTCTAACTTGGATTCTGAGCTTCTGTTGCATCTTTTAGAAAGTTGAGATGATAATAACAATTCTTGTGCATAAAAAGACTAATATAGGAGGATTGAGACTGCTTACCTTAGAAAGACCTGCTTGCAAGATTGGCCCATGACTGGCATCTGGGAACTTAGATTTTGGGAGGGGTTCCACCATTCCCGGATAAGAAATATTCACTGTGCCTAAACTGTTTGCGAAAACTATATGGTTTATGCTGAATACTTGCTTTCGTTCTAGGAGTCTGAATTTTAGGTACATACTAGAAAGAGGGTGTACTCTTGACCAGTCCCCGATAAAAACCTTGGGCAGAGTCCCTAATGAGCTTCCCTGGTAGGCAACATTTCATATGTGTTGTCACAGCTCAGTGCTGGGAGAATTATGTACATCCTGTGTGACTCCACTGGGAGAGGACACTTGGGAACTTGCGTCTGGTCTCCTCTGGACTTTGCCCCATGTACCTTTTCTCTTTTCCCCATTGCTGATTTTGCTTTGTATCCTTTTGCTGTAATAAATCATAGCCATAAATATGAATATATGCTGCATCTTGTGATTTTTCCTAGCAAATCATCAAACCTTGGGCTGATCTTGGGACGCCAAACACACCTCCTCCTAGGATTACCGTGAGCTTTAAATGGGATCGTATGCATTGAATGGTTAACATTGTGATAGATACAGACTAAGCATGAACGTATCAGAGAGAAGAAACCATCTACCAAGCAGATCTTCCCTTCCCAACTATGTGTTGCTCTGCTGCATGATGCTGAAAGGCACCAGAACTCTATCTGTGTCACCTGGGTGTGGGATTCCTCGTTGCCTCCAGGGTAACGGCCATTGCTAATGGGATCCTACTATATACTTCTTGGCAATTCTGTCTTTGCATTTAGTTAAGTGTGGATTTCAAAACAATGTTGCTTTAGGATTTAGACTGTTTTCTATTTGCGTTTTAAGTTGCTCCCTCTATAACCCTTTAACCCAGCCTTGCTAGAAATGCAAAACTGTATTTAGTACAATTTAAATTACAGTTGTAAAGTATCACAAGATAAAGTGCAGGTAGAATAATTCAGCCGTTGGTTTCCTCTCCACAACAATCTTATTTTGCAAACTGGAAAAGTATCAGTTCACGGATATTTTGCATTCATACCTTCACTTGAATGGCATGGCAACCACCGGGAAATTTACAATCAGGAGAATAGTTGCACATTTCTATTCCAGTTCTAAAAATAATTGGGCTAGCATTTTCAGTGCTTGTTCAGGTATAAATACAGGCAAAAGCGCTCTTCTCTGATGACTTTTCTGAAATAATGTCCATCTCTTGTTTAAACAGTTGTCATGTCTAAAGTTAACTAAATGTTAGACCAACACATGACCAAGTTATAGTTTTTAACATATTTTAATTTCACTAAATTTCCTGGGAAGTAATATGTAGAGACATTTATTTTGTATAATTTCCTGGACACTGAAAATGCCCCAGACCCTGATCCAGCCAGATAGTAGCATCTGAAGTTGCAAGGTATTAACTGATAATCAGGTCTTCACTGGTATATTAGATTTTTCCATGTAACAATCTATTCCAAAATGTAATGTCTTAAAGCAACTAGCATTTACTTTATGCCAAGTGCTTTTCAAAGTGCTTAAAAAATGTTTTCTCATTTAATCCTAATAATAACTTTTGTGGTAAGTATAATTATTAATCCCATTTTTCAAGTATACAATATTTTTTTCCATACAAACGTTTTTTAAGTGCACACATGTACTAGTCAGCTTTTGCTTTGACGGTGTCAGGTAACAAACAAGTCTAAAATCTCAATGGCTTACTTACAATTATTTCTCACTCATGAGCCAGCTATGGCTTGGCTGTGGCTCAACTATGGCTCAGTTGGGCTTGCCTGGGTGTCTTGGTTTGCTAGTGCTGCTGTAACAGAAATACCACTAGTGGATATTTATTTTCTCACAGTTTAGGAGGCTAGAAGTCCAAATTTGGGTACTAGGATAAAGTTCTGTCCCTGTTGGCTCTGGGGGGAAATCTTTGTCTCTTCCAGCATTCTTCAGTTCCTTGGTGATCTTCATGTTGCATCTATCTTTGCTAGTTTGTGCTCACTTGTCTCTGTGTCTATGCTGCTCCTTATATCACTCAGGAGTGATTAGGTTTAGGACACACCCTATAGTGATATGGCCTCATTAACATAAAAAAGAAAACCCTATTCCCAAACAGGATTACATCCACAGGTATAGGGATCAGGATACCAAAACATATTTTAGGGGTACACAGTTCAATCCATAACACTGGGATGGACTCCAGACTGGAGGCTGAGAATATATCTGCTTCATGAATCTCTCCTTCCAGAACCTAAGCTGAGGTAGCACCATCTACCGGAGAGATCTTCATGGCAAGTGGCAGGAACACAAGAGGGAAAGAAAAAACACACAATGCCTCCAAAACCTCCACCCAGAACCGGTGCACTGTCGCTTCTATCCACAGTCCATTGGTCAAAGCGGATTCCATAGTCAAGTCTCAAGGCCAACGGAGCAGAGAACTATACTCCACCCACATTGAAACATGGCAAGTGCAAAGAGGGAACAAAAAAATTTGAATGAAAATATTTAATCTACTACGCCTTGAAACTCCAGCTTTCATCTTTTGCAGCTAGTATAGAGAGAGGAATAACTGAAAAGATGTAAATATGAATGAGTTAGCAATAATTCTCCTATAGTCTTCTGCTAGCAAGATATAAATGGCTGCCTCTTTTCTGTTTGCATTTCCTAGGTTTTTGCATCATGTTTGGAAAGAAAAAGAAAAAGATTGAAATATCTGGCCCATCCAACTTTGAACACAGGGTTCATACTGGGTTTGATCCACAAGAACAGAAATTTACCGGCCTCCCCCAGCAGTGGCACAGCCTGTTAGCAGATACAGCCAACAGGCCGAAGCCCATGGTAGACCCTTCGTGCATCACGCCCATCCAACTGGCTCCCATGAAGGTATGGTGAAGATTCATGTTTAAATTGGCTTAAGAAGCATGTCCTTATTTGATACAGTGTACCATGTTTATGGGCAAGCAACAAAAATGCCTAAACTGTGTATTTAAAAAAAAAAAAAACTACAAATTATGCCCAATCATGCTTCAGTGATTATAATATTCACCACGTATGGTAAATTGCAGCACATGAAAAGGTGTCTTAGCTTTCAGATCTGAGTGTTTTTAATCAGATACATGAAATGCAATCACAAGATAGGAAAGTTTATTTCTACTTTAAATGGTGTTTGCTTGTCTTTACACTGAAGAATATTACTCGTCCTCTCTGGTTAATATATTGGCAGTAACCTCTGATTAAACATCATATTAGACAACCTTTGGTTGTTTTACATTCTCCCTCAGAAAATTTAAACTCTTCTTGTGTACAGAACTTTGAACTACCAGATTTTGACAATAAGTAATTATATATATATATATATATGTTGTTGTTAGGTGCCGTTGAGTTGGTTCTGATTCATAGCAACCCTATGTACAACAGAACGAAACACTTTCTGGTCCTGCACCATCCTCACAATTGTTGCTATGTTTGAGCCCATTGTTGCAGCCACTGTGTCAATACATCTCGTTGAAGGTCTTCCTCTTTTTCACTGACCCTCTACTTTACCAAGCATGGTGTCCTTCTCTAGGGACTGGTCCTTACTGATATATATATATATATATATATATATATGTAATTTGTCTCTATAGCCAACAATAGAGCCATTTCAAATAAAAGCAAATAATTTGAGCCCTAGTATAGGATATAATTTACCTCAAACAATGACTGGTAGATTTTTGGTAAGGAATATTCATGAAAATCATTACATTAAAGCAGAAGGTAGATGTAATATATTTATAGATACACCAAATAACTGTAAAGAAAATCCAGCTATTACAGTTTCCTTCTATACCTCAGGATGACAAGAATTCCATAGACCATCATATAATGGCCCAAAAGCCGTCTACAGGAGTTAAACCATAGTTTAAGTTTATCATTATGTTATCCAGTCAACCATTCCAGGGTTTCATAATCCAGACAAAGCATTAAGTTCAGATTCTTCTCTTGCTCATTGTATTTGTAGATATCTGAGCTATGTGAATACTTTATGCTGAATTAAAATGAATATTGAATAAATATTTTAAGTGATATGCAAAACATAATTGGGTTAATTTTTAAAAGGATGGAAAAAAAAGATCATAGCTGAGAAATTATGCGGAATACTTATATCACCTGAACTGACTAAATTAAAATTGTGCTTCCATTATTCAGGTGTAATCTTGTTCATTCTTTTCTGGTATTGAAGATATGGGTCTGTTCTTTCCAACAAAAGGACTCTCCCATTTTAAACAGGTATTGATTGATGCTCAATAGAAACTGACCAATTAACCAACACCACTGGTTAATATTGGACACTATCCTACAATTGAACATAATTTTCTCCCTAAGAGAATTGACGGCTAATGCATCACTGATGACCAAATAATAGGATGGCCCATATCTAAAAAGAACTTTGAATTTGAAAGAATATACTTTTTACTTTCATTATTTTTCTTATATCCTGAATTTTTACAGAAACTCAGAAAATGGAATGGGCAGTGTGCCCAGAAAAGTCCTCTGCTGTTGACCATCATGGAGAATGAAAAATGCCCAAGTGAAACTAGGGTTTATTTTTTTACCCTTGAGTTGAGTTATCACTGGATAAGGAATATTCCAGAAGGAAGCAGTCTTAGTGTACTATCCTAGCTAATAGCCCAGGATGTGTGCTACCTTGTTAAAGAGTGTTTGTTACTGGTTGAGGACAGAGTATCATTTATTTCACTATGGATTTTTACTCATCCAAGTCCTAGCAGGTCCTGGCTAGCAATTAATAAAGATACTCCCATGCTCAGTGATAATTCACCCTGCTCAAGTGGACTTGGAACTTAGGAAAGAACCTTCTATTTTGTTTCTTTCCATCCCTTCAATGGGCTGGCTTATTATCCTTCTAGCAGAATTTGTCAGCCCCACTGAGGACTGAAGCATGGTTTCCTAACTTTTGAGATACTGAGCCCTGTGATTCTCCTTACTCACATCATGGGCTTTCTAACCCTGACGCCAGATGGTTGAGCAGCCAGTTTCCATGAAATTAAAACACTTGCTATACACACTTAAATGCTAACTGGATGATGACTGGGGAATGCAACTCAAGTATAGAACCAGCTCTAGATTTCTGCAAATGGGACTTTAGGCACAGTTTTGCCACAGGGGGAAAAATGATAAGGAATGGCAAATTTCAATCTAGATTCAGCTAGACTGAATCTCCTTCAGAAAGAATGAAGTTAATCAAATGTTTTTAACTGCAAGACATTCAAGAAATCTGCTACCACATACTCTCACCATACTCTCCTATCTCCTCTCCAAATACTACATGTGCAGTTAGTACTATTGGCATATCTTGAGCAAGATTACTGATTCTATAATAAGTAAAGTATAAGGTTTTTAAGAGGCCAATGTATGCCATGCAATTTGGGTAATTCCACTGTTTGGAAATGCCTTCTCTGAAAAAAATCTTCCAAGTCACTTGAGAACAACATCTTGTAAACCACAAAGAAGTCAGAACAATTCTTCTAATAAGATGGTAGGAGTGGACAGACAAAACTGACCAGATGGAGTTGTGTGGACTTAAGGACATTTTGACAAAGTTACTTAAGTTAGGTAAAACCAAAAATTCTAATTTGTTCCAACTGTCCCTTAAAATGGACAAAGGAAAATGAGAAAAAGAGATCATGGCATAAAAACAACATATAGAAGACGTATATAGCACTTTATGGTGTGGAAAAGTGCCGGTCCTTAGTATTTTATGTCTGTAAGCTTCGTGCAGGCTAGTTCTGAGAAGGAATCTGCCATTGCAACCAACAGTCTTTGACTGGGTAGAGTTTCAGCTGTTCACATTCGGAACTTTGTTTAAATTGCATGTCGTGCTTGCCAAGAACACCTCTTCTATGTAGTTTTTTTTTTTTTTTTTTTTTTTTTAAGGTCAGTTTCTCAAATGATACTGTGCATCAGAAATCACCTGCTGGGCTTGTAAAAACACAGAATGCTGGGCCACATTCCCACATATTCCTATTCAGTAGGACTGGGGTGGGGCCCAAGAGTTTGCATTTCTAATAAGTTCCAAGGTGATGCTGACACTGCTGGACTGGGGGCCACACTTTGAGAACCACTGATTTAGGTAGTTAGGAAGAAATTTTTCCACATAATGTATAATCAGTACAAGTTTACGCTGGCTAAGGTATCCAAAATTTCAGAAATTTAACCAGAAGCCACAGGTTAGTTGGGACTTGTGTCAAAAGTTAAAATTCGTGTGTCCAAGCAGGCTAACCAAAATAACCTGAACACCCCAAGCAGAGAGAGGGCTTCCCTTTAAAACACTTTGCAAGTATCTTTAAGAAACTCCTTCTTAGTATAACATCATTTTATCCACAAGAATATCATAAGGAATATTACCAAAATTCCTGCCGAATGAGGTACATTAAAGGGCAAGATGAATGGCCACGTTTGTTCTTGCCCAACTGTTCTCAAACTTGGGCTCTCATCAGAATATCCCAGTGGATTGTTAAATCCCAGATTGCTGGGCCTCACCCCAGAGATTCTGATTCAGTAGGCTTGGGGTAGGCCGGATGATTTGCATTTCTAACAAACTCAGATGATGCAGATGATGTTCGTGAGTGGGAAACATATTTTGAGAACCACTGTTCTAGGCCGATTGATGCTAAAACTTAAGAATCACGCTCCCCTCTGTAACAGCCTAGAAAGCTTTCACAAAAGTGTTAAAAAATACAGATCTGTTGCTGTCTATTCAACTCATAGCGACCCTATAGGACAGAGCAGAACTGCCCCATAGTGTTTCCAAGGAGCAGCTGGTGGATTCGAACTGCCTTTGTAGCTTCTACCTAAAATGAACAAATGATAATGTATCTTACTATTTGGAATGGACTCAGCGGCAGTCTGGCCTTTCTAGCCGTGGGCTTGTAACTCCCACCCAGGTGATTGTGTGATAGAGTAATTGTGGCCCACCAAGGGGATTAGTTCTGCCTTAAAGAAGAGCCAATTCCAGAGCAGTGGGGAGGATCCTGCCACCACCAAGGAAGAATAGCCAGGAGCAGAAAGCATGTCCTTTGGACGCGGGATCCCTGTGCTGAGAAGCTCCTGGAAGCAGGAAACAGAGAGAGAGAGCTGTAACACTGAAGCCAGCGAGAAGCAGTGGCAGCAGAGACCCCATAGCAGGTGACAGCACAGTGGGCTTCCTGACCCCCGGAGAGAGGAAGCCTTTGGGTAGAGGCCTAAGGCCAGGGAGAGGCATGCCTTCGAGCACAGCTGGGAAGAGGCCGTCCTAATGGAAGAACCATATCCTGAGTGTTCCTAAGCCTAAATTGTAACTGTTACTTTTCTAATAAACCCCATAATAGTGAGTATGGTCTGTGAGTTCTGTGTGGCCATTGCAATGAATTATTGAACCCAGCAGAGAAGTAGAGAGTGCTGTGCAAGGGACAGTCAGTGTCAGAATTAGTAAAGATGGCGGAGAAAGGAGGTATGTCAGACCTCCACCTCCTAGGAATCAGGCTTGGGCTATTGATCTTGGTTCTCCTTCTTCCTTGTGAAGTTGGAGGAGGTCAGATACCGCCCCTACGCCGTTTTTACAAGTTAACTTGCATTTTTACTTAACACTGTTTTGAGATAAATGCATATGAGACATAGAAAATGAGTTCATTGTAAAATTGCTCTATAGTCTTTTTATAATTTATCCATTTCTGTACTAAGGAACATTTCCAAGTATTTGCTATTACAGATAATATTGTCATGACATCTGTGTTCATGCCTCCTTGGGCACATGTGAGAGGTTTTCTTGCAGCAGTTTTCAAAGTTAGTCCACAGCATTTGGGGTCCTTCAGACTCTTTCAGAGAATCTATAACATCAAAAATAT